AATATACACCTATGTGGATATCCACAAAATTTTTGCATATCATTTTTAGGGTTATATGGAATTATTAAATATCTGTGGTCCATAGGTAGAATTTCTGATTTAATGATAAATTATTTTGTTCACCTAATGGATGTTGATTGAGGGCCTACTGTGAACCAGTCAACATTTAGTGAGCAGCTGTTGTTGGGAGAGGTTCCAGAAACAGCTGTGTAGTTGTAGATATGAAACCTAGTGAGAGTCATTTCAAAAGAGAGGTCAGTCAGTGTGGCTTGCTCAGTAGAGATGGATACTGGACTGGCTTGGAGGGCTTGAGATGCCAAGCTATTTATTTTTTAAAAATTTGTATTTTAGAATTGCCTATTAGGTAACCTATATATTGGGAAGTATCCTCTTACAAGTGGGTTTATTGTAGTAAAATGTGCCACTGCCTATCAGACTCTCTTTTGTTTCCCTTATTCTAGAACCTTGAGAACATTTTAGAATGCAGTGATGCATTTGAATAGCTCTTAAATGAAGTCCCTGATCTCCTAAAGTAGTCTGAGTGAAGTAGTCGATATTGAAGATCCATTTTTGTTGGTACGCACCAAAAAATTTAATTCTGTAGGCCGGTGGTTTTATAATCCTTAATGAGCTCTCTAGGTATCTAGTTCTGTAACTAAAAAATAGTTGGAATTTGAACATGTCAAAATGGTATGGTATTTTCCAAGTAGCAGTGTTAATAAAATTCTTTGGAACTTATAAAGATATAACTGTTATTAAATATTTTCATTGAAATGCTTTCATACCAAAGTGAGGTTATCTTTTTTTTGCCTTTATCCTCATATCTTTAAATGAGGATAGCAAGCTCCTCATCGATTTGACTACAGATTAGATAACATACATGAAATTAGTTAATAAAGACGACTCTGGCTCAGTAAATATGGTTGAACCTGAACATCAAAGGAAAACACTTGAATGATCATGTAGAGGATAAAAACATTTTTTTGTTGTTGTTCTTGAATACTTTTTAAAAGATTATCAGCTAAGTAATATCTTCATTTTTGCTTAGAATTTTTTTCTCCCCTAATGTTAGAGAATACAGGCTGCCTTTTGAATAAAAAAAATTAGAATACTAAGTGGGAGGGCATGTTTTCCAGAATTGACTTCTGAAAGCTCTGTAAGATTTACTGATGGGAGACTCATTGATGGTAAGTATGAACCTCCTGTCTGTCTCTCAGGAACAGACAGAGAAAGTGGGAAACAGGGTGTAGGTTGTAATGTTGGAAGTTCAACAAGCTAAATTGCCATAGAAATGAAGATATGGAAAGGAGCCTCTGGCGATATGGACAAACTAGGGTCCTTGAAATGGGAACTTGGGCCTCTAAGAGATCTCTGTTGTTAATGTGTTAGAGCCCCCGGTTACATGCAGTGGGGGTGGGGGTTCCAGAGAACAGCCAATGGAAATGGCTTTATCTTAAGGGTGAATGTAAGACTTACCTCAACGTGGGGGTCCGTATGGCGTGACAAGATTTCTTCATTGCTTTGTCTTAATTCCTGGGAGTGATTTCTGTCAAAGTGAGCTGGTTACTGCATGTTGAGATTAGGTAAGCATCTGGTATCAGAACAGCTGAAGATTCGAGTGATGGTTTCTTTGCATTAATTGAATGAGAATTTTTTATTAATTTACAAATTTGAATTAGTACATGTATAGTGTTAACAAGTGAATGATAAGGAAGTCTGTAAATTAAAACTCACACTCCCATCCCCTGAGGTAAGTAACAACTTGGCTTGTTCTTTGTAAATCTTTCTCTACATGGCATGAAGATGGAATTTTTCATGTGTATTTAAATTGGCATGTGTACTAAATTTTGAATTTAGATTATTTTATAACTATTTCAAAATGACTGGATTAAATTGAATGGAAATCGGGTGGTATGAAAACCACATTCTGCTTGATGTAGTTAGTACCCAGTCTCTGTTTGGGGGTGGAGGCAAAAAGGAGTTAGGCCCTAAATAACTTAGGGGAGGTGAGGGATGGGAAGAGGGGTTTGGAAAGAGGAGTGGTAAATTGAGAACTCCCCACAGTAGGACAAAAGTACGAGCCCCCCTCCCCCATTTCCTCTCTGTATATCTGTTCTATTTTGATGGAGTAAATGATGGACCAGGTTTGAGTCCTGGCTCTGATTTTTAGTGACTCGATTATTCTACTAAAGTTACCAAACTTCTGTAAGTTCCTCGCATTAATAAAAGGGACTTAATAATATTGCACAGGTTATGTTATAGGTTCACATGAAGGTTAAGCCTCAGAGCACATAAAGCATTCAGCCCAGTGCTTGGTACAACCGTGCTTCTCTTTCTTTAGTTCTCTCTCTCCAAATGGGAACTTTCAATCTGAAAGTTAGTTAACTTGTCGAAATTCTTTTGTAATAGTTCATAATCAGGAATCCTGGACTTGTTAACATGGACTGTTTTATAGATTGGATCAGGAAGAAAATATTGATTATGTGGGATCAAGTTAGCCAAGTATTTCTTGGTCATCATAAAGATCTGGAAATAGATTTATCACATGTCGTTTGTTGGGTTTGTGCTAGGGTGGGAGGTTTAGCTGCCTTTGCATTGTCTTGTCTGAAAGAAGAGACTGTAGTTGGTTCTCCACTGTCTTTCCGCTACCTGAGCCTCACGGTGTGCGGCACTTTGTAGCCTAGTAATTTGTACTTAACAACAGTACTTGAAAAAGTTCGTGGAAAAATAGAGTTAAAAGATAATGCAAATCTTTTCACAAACTTTTTGTAGTACCCTGTACATTAGGCAGAATCCTATAGCATTTTGGAGATAGGTTGTGTGTGTCAATCTCTGAAATTAAGTTGATAGGAAACCAAGGTTAGAACAACTAAAATGGTAATTGTATGAAATACATTCTCATCCCAGTTCCTAAACATAAGATTCAACTCTCAATAAAAAATGAGAAAGCTACATGCTTTTTAAAAATGTATATATATGAGGGGGTCTTCAAAAAGTTCATGGTAGGATTCGTATTATCTTTTAATTCCTTTTTTCACAAAATTTTTGAAGCATCCTCGTATAATGATGATGAGGAGGAAGATTTTAGCTAAACATTCAGCAGATCTTTTCTGCCTTTATTCAAAGGCAGGTGTTCGTTCTAAAGACTAACATGCTCTTCCCTCCCACTTCCCTTTTTTGCTATATAGGTTATACTAAATTAATGGAGGAAAGGTAGAACATTCAAATAAACACAATAAAGAAAATAAAAATTATGGACTATCCCACTTCTTAGAGAATACTATTATTCACATTTTCACATATTTAGTTTCAGGTTATTTTTATCTTCCTATATTCATATGTTTAAAACAAAAATGATATATAATCCATACTTTCTGTGTAATGCATACTTTCTTTTCTTTATTCAATCATCAATGTACTGTGAATATATTTTATGCTCATAAGTATATTTCTACAACATCTGGTTATCTTTGTTCTCTTCTAACTACAGAAATCATGCATGTTTAGAGGAAAAATTCTTAAGGAATATAGAAATGTCTTAACAGAAAATAAAAGTTTCCACAAAATTCAATTAATCATTTACATAATAGTACTTTTTAGTGTCATCTTAATATTCTTCTATATGGATGAGCTAATTATATATTGTTTTCCATTTAGCCATGAATTAGAAACAGTTTATAATAAACCACACTGATATGAACATCTTTGTACGTACATCTGAGTGCAATTGCACAATTACCTCAATAGAATAAATTCCTACAAGTGTGTATGCTGGTTAAAGTGTATGAGGTTACTTCAAAAAGTTCATGGAAAGATTAGTATCGTCTTTTATTTCTGTTTTTCACAACGTTTTGAAGTACCCTTATGTATATTTTAAAGTTTTGTTGTTTTTTGATTAGATACTGCTAAATTTCATCCAAAAATATTATACCAATTTGTTCTCTGATCGGCAGTGTTTGGGGAATATCTGTTTTTCCGCACCCTTTCCAATCTTTTTTTTTTTTTTTTTTTTTTTTTAAAACAACGTTTTGAAGTACCCTTATGTATATTTTAAAGTTTTGTTGTTTTTTGATTAGATACTGCTAAATTTCATCCAAAAATATTATACCAATTTGTTCTCTGATCGGCAGTGTTTGGGGAATATCTGTTTTTCCGCACCCTTTCCAATCTTTTTTTTTTTTTTTTTTTCTCTTTAAAAGCAGTTTTTGCCAGTTTAATTGGTAAAAATTGTTTTAATTTGAAATTATTTTTGATTGTTAAGTTTAATACTTTTTTCATGAGATTTTGGCTGTGTGTATTCCTCTGTAAATTATTTGTTTACCTGTTTAAAAAAATTGGAAAGTTCATCTTTTTCTCTAAAACTAAGTATTTTCTTTTTCTACATCAGTCAGTATGACTTCAAAGATACCCTAGTCCCCTTTGAAACAAAATGAGCCATGCATAAATCAAGAATTCACTCACCTGAACACTTTGCTTTTTGCAAAGGTCTGTAATGACCTGAGAGCCAGGAGGTTCTGGCACAGCCTGGGTTGTTATCCTGAGGCAGGTGGACTGTGTAGCCCAGTAGGACGAGGCCCCCATTCTCAACTGGCAGAATATCCCAGAATGATCATGAGATTTGGGTGCTGCCACACATTGCTGCAAGCTCAGTTTTCCTCTTGAAGTTACACTCCGGAGAATATAGTTCTAACTTGTCTTTGTGTACATATTTGCAAAGCATTTTTTTTGGCGGCTGACCAGTACGGAACTATAGCTTTTCAAGTTTAGGAGGAAAAAAAAATAAATCAGCCCAAATAAAAAAATAATGAGAATTACACAGTTTTGGATTTCAGTTTTCACCTTGTATTTTTCTTTTCTCTGTCGCTTATTTATTTTTTTATGAAATGCTTTATAGTGTACTTGCATATAATGAAAAAAAATTGTCTTAAAAGTTGAAAATGGAAACTTTTTAAAGATACTCCTCTAACAAAGTTGGTTTTTTTTTTCCCCCCATTCCCAAGGTTTATTACCCAAATTTGGGGTGGATGTGCATTGATGCCACGGATCCAGAGAAGGGGAACTGGCTGCGATATGTGAATTGGGCTTGCTCAGGAGAAGAGCAGAATTTATTTCCACTGGAAATCAACAGAGCCATTTACTACAAAACTTTAAAGGTAACAGTATTAGAATTAGTCTACTGTTAGTTACTCCGCATGCTTTTTTTTAAGTGCTGTCTTTAGTCATGACTGACAATAAGGGCTTTGCAGACCTTGAAAGGGTTATATTTGAAATGGTTCATCTGCACACTCACGGTTCTGTGTTGCAAATGTATGGTTGCCACTGCTTTGTGTGTCAGGGAACTAAAGCATGAACATCCTGTTAAGTAATTACATACTGCATCTTTATAGATACTGATGAGTTAAGTGTGTGGCAGCTGCTTACCTCCTACTGAGTTACAGATGCATTAGGAACTGTCTTACTGGCAGATTTATCCATCTGTAAGAAACTCAGTGTGGTGGTTCTGTGTTAACTGAAAACACATTCTTAGTCTTCAATGTAAATGAAGCCTTGGATTAGCTTTTCTTTTCCCTAAATTTTATTCAGAATATAAATTAAACAGAACAGGTTTTTTTCTTCTGCCATATTTTTATTTGGAAGCGTTAGCCGTGAGATGAAAAGAGAGTCGTGTGTTAGGGTTGGCGGTGAGGTTACGGCGTACATTCAGGGATGTCAGTATTAGGACGTGTTGAGTGTTGCTGCATTTCTTTGAGAAGCAGGGTCCTGACTGTCTGCCTCATTTCCATGAATCACGTTCTCTAGGAAGACAGATCTGCACGTCATGCATGGAAATGTCCTACGGTGGAATCTCAAGCCTATAAAGATAGATGGTTGTTGCTTTTGGAATGGATAAGTTTGCTAAAATTGCTGTAAGATCAATTCTCTTTATTCACTTACTTCCATTAAAAATGTCATAGATGGGGGACAGTCCATGAAAAGACTTATCTCCATGGAGTTGAAAGCTCTCGATGAGCAAACATTTAAGATAGTGGCCAGCTCTGCAGTGTGCTGAGTTTTCTTAATGTAGCAGTAAACTTCTGGAAGTTTAGTTAACATGTAGCTATTTAATTTTCCTTTGCTGCAGTTTTCCTGACATTATTAGTCAATTGCACTGGCTTTAATTGTGTATATACTCATGTTCTTCCAGTCCCTGTAGGAAGTATTTTTTTCTTGTGAGTATTTTCTCATTTAAGACATCTAAAACCTTGTTTTCCATTTTCTGTTGGATTGTAGTAACATGCTAGCAGGTTATTACTGTACAACTTCATTATACTGGAGTTTGAAATTGGATTCAAGATTGGATTCAAGAATGCCTTCTGTTTCTCAAATTTATGAAAGTGAGAGATACATTTGGTTGAATCAGTGAGGAAGAATCCTGGTGGAGACGAAATTCCAGCTAGGGAATTGGTATTAGACCATCAAGGAATGAGGTTCTGAAGGAGTAGGTCTCCAGGCAGGTGTTAGGTAGGACACTGTAGTTCCTTCATGAGGCTTCAAGTTAAAATATGTTTATCTCTGATAGTGAATTTGCAGGAACATTGTGCAGCAAGGTAGAATAGTGGTTGGGAGAGTGAACTGTGAAGCTGGACTCCCTGCAGTAGATCCTGACCTGCTGTGTGACACAAGGCAAGTCGGTGTGACTCTGCTAGCTGTCTGATCTTAGGCAAGTCCAACTCTGTGCCTCAGTTCCCTCACTGTAAGCTACAGGTGATTACAGTATCCACCCCATAGGCTTGTATTGATGATTGCATGAGTGAATACAGATAGAGTTCTAGCACCTAATAAGTGGTAATAAATGATAGCTGTTATTTTTTTTCCTGTAATCACTGTATTTCTAAAGCCCCCCCCCTTTTTTTTGGGGGGGGGTGGCTGACTGGTATAAGAATCCGAACCCATGACCTTGGTATTATAAAGCTGCACTCTAACCAAGTGTGCTAACTAGCCAGCCTGATAGCTGTTATTTTTGGGGAGGTGTTATGGTGTTGTGGTCAGGGGTGGGAACACTGGAGCAAACTGTCTTCTGAGCAAATTTTGGCTTCTAGATGTGTAACCATGCAAAATTCCTTAATCTCTCTGTGTCTTAGTTTTCTCATCTGTAAAAATGGAGGTAATAATAAAACTAGTCCATACAGATGTTGTGAAGATTAAACAAGCCATTGTGTGTAAGGGTCTGTGACCAGTTATATAGTTCAATATAAGTACTCAAAGTGTTAGCTAGCTATACCCCCTACTATTATTTTTAGCTGTCTTTGTCCAAAATGACATACTTCTGATCTTTGCAGACTTCCTCCAATCCTGAGATTTGATATTTGCCCAAGGATGCTCAAGGCGTTTCAGATTCCTTACTAGTGATTATCTAACTACATTCTTCTAGATTAAGTGTTCTGTGGGGTAGGTTTTTGTAAATAAACTACAGGTGATGTTCTCTGAGCTCTGTATCACCTTCTCTGCTTATTATTCCACACAGATAATTGGGAAATCTCAACACTAGTTTGTTTGTAATATGATTAAGAACTATTTTAAATTCCTGAAAGTTAACTGTCAAGCCTGCTATCCGCTCATTCATCTTTTCACTAGTCTGACAAATATTTGAGCGTCTGCTGTGTATCAGGTAATCTCTTATAGTAGTGAAAAGGACAGACAAGGTCTGCTCATGGAACTTCCATTTTATGGGGGAGGAGGCAGATAATCAAGTAAATAAGTAAACAAAGTTATTTCAGATAGTGATAGCTGCTTTGAAGACAATAAAATGTGACAGAGAGTGACTAGGGAGGGAGAGGGCTGCTTTGGCTCCAGTGGGCCAGGGAAGGCCTTTCTGATAAAAGACTTTTGAACCCCACCCCTGGGGTGGGAAGGAGCCAGCCATGCGGAGATCTAAGGGAAGAGCAATCCAGGAAGAGAGCCAGTTGAAGGAATGGCCTTGAAGTAGGAATAAGCTAGTTTTTGTTTTGTTTTTTAAGTATTAGAACAAAGGCCAGTGTGGCTGGAGGAAGGAGAGGAATTATAGAAGATGAGGTTGGTGAGGTGGGCAGGGGCCAGATCAGGTGGGCTTAGTGGCCCCTTGGGGGAAGAATGAGTTTTAGTCTTCAGTTCAGTTCACTCATCCAAGAGTTGAGGCTGAGATCTGATCCGATCATCCTGGGGAATGGATTACAGATGGGTAAGACTGGATTTCCTCTGGTCTGTAATGATTCTGGAGTATTTCTCTTATTTTGGCCTAGCATCAGGAATATTAGAACTCTGCTTCTTTCTTATTGGTCCGATAAAATTCTAAGTTTATATATATTGATATTTAGAGAAGAGAGTATGCTTAGTTTTATAAAGCCTGTCTGAACCCAAAGGAAGGGTTTAAAGTCTTTGTTATTTTTTCTTAATGTAACATCAAAATATAATACATAAAAAAGAGGTTGTTTGATTGTTTACCTTAATTTTTTTTAAAATGTGGATTTATATTTCCTTTGATTAAGGCCATAGTTTTTCTTCTGAAATTTGACTCAAGAAATCTTAAAAATGCTAAGCAGTGCAGAAGACAAAAACAATACAGTACAGAAGAAAATCCTTGATTTAAAACAAATTATTATTACTACTATTATATCTTATTATTTTCCTCTTCCTAAGGGTCTGTTATTTGTGTAGCTGTTTTAGTATAAAGTTGGGACGCATATAGCTCCATAATATAATAACCATCTCAGTTGCTAACAATTTTGAAAGCTGTTTAGCAGCTAACAAGTTAGGCTCTTCATCTAGTGCATCACTGGCCCATTAGCCTTAGAAATTTTATATTAGTTTTGTCATACAAACGGATTCTGGTGTGTTTTCATATTGTGTGTTTTGCAACAACAAAAGAGTAACAGGACATGAGTGCCCTCCCGAGTAGAGACTTTGTGCCCATATTTAACTTCACCAGGTTGCTAGTTCAGTGAGACTGCATTGACGGCTACAGTTGAATGAGCGTGAAAACAGAACCTTTTATTTTTGGAAGTGTCTTCCAGCCAGTGTTCTGGTTATACGGTTTGGGTTAGGAATATATTGGGAATACATTTGTCCTCACTCCGTCTCATGTTCTTTTTTACTTTGGTTTTATTTAAGGCTGTACATATTTCTTAAAACCCTAGTCATTTCAAATATTGATACCACCATTTCATAAATATGTGACTTACAACAAAAACAGTAAGAAACAAACTATATGTTTGGAAATTTACGTTATCTAGAAATAGTTTACTTTAAAAAACCTTTTTTTCCTAACAGAAACAGATTAGCTCATCAGAGTGTCAAAAGGTATTTATGATAGCTGTTTTAGCTCATTAATATCTTATGTATTAAATTAAGGTTTTGGTTTAGGTTGAATTGATTCAAGAAGGGAAATAATTGGTTTGAAGATAAGAATATGGCAGATTTTAGCTATCCTTGGGGGGGGGGAGCATAGGAAACAGTGGCTGGTTCTTTTATTTTAAAGAATTTAGAATATTTTGAAATTTGGACTATATGGAATTCTGCAGAGAATGAAACAGAATAATATTTACTTTCAAGGATTTTATTTAGACTAGAAGGTATGTTTAAGTAAGAAACTATTTTGTTTCTAAGCTGACATCTTAGTTGGAATCCCCCTGCCCCCCCCCCCCCCACCACAGGACCATTCTCTTACATAATCATAGTGCAATGATCAAAATCAGGAAGCTAACACTGACACAATACTTTATTAGCTAATCGGTATACCTTATTCAAATCTTGTCCATTGTTCCAGTCATGTCCAGTCATGGAAAAGAAAACTCCATTGCATTCAGTTGTCATATCTCGTCATTATCCTTAGTTTGGATGGTACTTTAGTCTGTCTTTAATAACCTTTCAGTTTTGAGAAGAACTGGCCAGTTATTTTATAGAGTGTCTCGCAGTTTGGGCTTCTCTTATGCTTCATCATTATTAAATTCATTTTATGCGTTTTGGGCAGAAATTTCCCAGAAATAATGTTGTATTCTTCTCTATGCACCATTCTTCTGTGGGGCACTTGATGTTTATTTGTCTGATTACAGATAGTGTTTTTCCCTTTATTAATAAATATGTTATAGAGAAATATTTTGAGATATGCAAATATTCTGTTAACTCCTCAAAATTTTGGCTACTAGTTTTAGCATCCATTGATGATTCT